GTGATATTAAAGAGAAATATGCAAAAAGTGGCCAGGAACTTGCTGTTCAGTGAATGAATTATAATAATAAAAATAAATAAAAAGACAGTTGTGGTGACTGAAGAATATATACAGTTATTATTTTTGCAGTGACTGATTAGGTAAACAATATATATATAGAGATATAGTGCAAATAAGTGAAGTTATAGTGCAGTGACAGAGAATATACAGTTATTATTGTGCAGTGACTGGATGAGTAAATAAACAGTTTTAGTGCAATGAATGAATGAATGAATAAATAAATAGACAGTTAAAGTTAAAGTGCAGTGACTGAGTAAATAAATAGGCAATTATAAAGCAGTTAATTACAAAGTTATTGACCAAGTAATATTGAACAGTTAGCAGCGGTTGGGTAATTATTGCACACTGTAGCAAGATAAAGAAAAATAAATGTCAGCTAAACTGTATTTTAGTGCTTAACCAGTCATATCCTTAATGAGCTTGAAAATAACATCCTATTCATCCAGCTGAAAATGACTCTGCAAACGATCCAATTAGAAAAACAACATGTATCGAGCCCTTAAGGAGAGAAAACATCTACATTTTAAGGTTGCAAATTCAGACTGTAAATGTATTATTTTTACTCAACCAGGCCTGAAGAATTAGTTTTTTTTTTACAGTAAAATATATTACACTTAGGCTGTATTAAAAAAGAACATAATTCTTAAGGTGCTCTTGTTTATTTCAACCATCAAGTACCAAAGTAACGACTTGCTTTATGTGAAAATCGTACCGGAAACCGTATTTATGAACCAGTTTAACTTTTTTTCATTTTGCTCGCTTCCGGGAACATTCGCGCTTGCGACACGCGTGGGCTTGCAGAACTGCACCGCACAGACACATTTGATCTCACATGTTTTAACAGATTTTTTTTTTTACGAGTTCTTTGTTTAAACTGAACTCCCAAAGCAGGAGCTCACTGTGGAGGCTGTGTGAAGATGCGCACAGCCTTTAATCCACCGAGACAGTTCTTAATGCATAACGAGGGAAAACTCCACTTCAGCCATGGGCGTGGCACCAGGTAGTGAGAGAATACATGTCCAAAAACGGTAAACTCGTAAACTCAACTTGAAATGACTGGAGTTCAAATAGGGTCTACAGAGAGGGCGACATCTAGTGGCTATGATATGATATGGTAGTGTATTAACGCATGGGTGAGGTTTTAATACAGGGTGTCCAAACTTTTTTTCTTGGGGGGCCAAAATTGTGTGTTAGAATCACCACAGGTTTTTTTTTTTTTTTTAAATATAGTTGAAAAAATAGTCAGGCTTTGTAGATCAGAATCAAAAGGCTCTCTAAATAAACCCTTCAATAAAAGGAAATACAATATTTAGATTTCTTTGTTCTACTTTTTTTTTTTTTTTCCCTCAGAATCAAACCTGTAATGTGGTTCATGTTTTTGGAAGCTTTCTACATTTAGCTCAGGTCATTAAATGGTTAAACAACAGTCCGCTTGTTTGAAAAAACTTTGCATACGTTTTTTTTTTCATAGTTTACAAAAAAAATGTGGAAAATAGTAAAAGCTGTAGATTTAAAAAAACAAAAAAACAACATACATGTTACTGAACATTTTCTTTTTTAGGAATATTGTTCAGCACTTGTTAACATGAAAAAGAAAAATAAGATAATGTGCCAATCTTAATCAAGGCCTCCAAAATCTTCTGATTCTTCATTTGAAGTCAAGGCCGCACTTTGGACACCCCAGTTTTAATATTTTCAGCTTCACAGGCCTTAAACACGACACCATAATTAATTCAGACACACATGATTCATTTGGGTACGTACCAGAACAGAGTTACCAAATGAAGTTAGATAAGTGATAGTTGTACAAACCCACAACTTTGATAAAAACGTATCTTCAAAACAATTGCTCCTCAAATACAACGCAAAACATACTGATTTATTTTCTATACCCGAGGTGTTTTGCAAATTGTCAAAAGCCTTGTCAACTTGTAATGAGCCACCACAGGGATGATGATTTATATTTGGAAAAAAAAAAATAAAAAATAAAAAAGTATTATGCCTTTTGTTTACATCACGGATTTCATGAAGTAGACTCAAAAACAAGTAGTCAAGATGTAATTTAAACAGATATTAAAGACAAATCTAAATTGCAACGACACATGCAGGCAGATCAAAAAGGAAGTAGACTCATCAGTTGGTTAATATGCACTGCAGGTTTTATTACAAGTTCCATTAACTACAGGGTACAGGAAAAAACTGGGCGAACCCATTTAACAATAACCTACAGCCAAAACCTTTTTCATGAGAAAAAAAATCTGGTAAAAAACACTTCGGAGCATTTAAAAGAAGAGGTTGGAACAATAATTTCAATCACATCAGAAGACAACCAAGTGTAAAATATTCTGCACATTTGCAACAACCACCCTTCTGTGCAGACAGGAAGGGCACAACAACCAGGAGGAGCTTCATTTCTTAGCTGGTGTCCATCTGAGAAAACACAAGAGATCAATTAGACAGCTGCCACAACACAGTTTGCTAACATCGGACACTTGGACAGCTGAACTTACTCTGGCGTTGTAGGCGTCTAACTGAGCGTCGAGTTCCTCTGCTGATAACTGTTGCTTGGTGTTTCCGCCTCGACCGCCTCGGCCCCTTCCCCTGGCACCGCCTGCTCCACGTCCGCCACGGCCTCTCTGCATCCCCCCGAAGCTGCCCCCACGACCTCTGTTCATGCCTCCACCACCTCTGCTCAAACTGAGAAACAAGGAACATTAGCGCAACGTACAAAGCGTGCACGTTTCTCTGGGCGTGTAGAACGTGAACGCTGAACTCACCCCTGCATAGGTCGTCTCTGTGTGTCGATCTGTGATGTGACGAGCTGTATGTTCATGGGCCGCCCTGAAGATGCAAAAAATAAAAATAATATTCAGAAGTTGGTCAAGACGATACTGTTGAATGATTAGTAACAATTTGCCATCTAGAAAATCAAAGATTCAAGTTGAAAACATACCATCAAGTGGGATGCCATTGTACTGTTTCATTGCTTTGTGAGCATCTGCCCTCCTTTCAAAGTGGACATCTGCGGTTCCTAAGCTTCTCCCTGATCGGTCGTAGTGAACAGCAGCTTTTTTCAGGGTCCCAAATTCAGCAAACAGTTCCTGGAAAAGAATATACATTTCAGTAGCTATCCCCATTTCCACACCAACTCGAGGAAAATCTGCTCCACAAAAGACGACATTCCAAACGACAAAGCGGGGGGGAACAACGTACCTGAATGTCTGCGTCCGAGACTCCAAAGTCGAGATTGGAGACGAGGAGCTTCCCTCCGGTTTCCACGCCGGCTCCTCCGCCACCCCCAGCAGCGCCATTGAAGCCGCTGAAGCCGTTGTCGTACATGTCGTGCTGCCACTTGTCGGGAAGCTGTTTAGGCTGCAACAGACGAAAGAGAACGCACCTGCTGACTTCAGGATCCCCTTGCTCCTCTGTCAATCACAGAGTCCACACGGCTGGGTGTTGGGGCAAGCAGGGGGCTCCACTTCCAACTGGACCAGGGTGCACAACTCCCCCCACCCACACAAGAAGGGTCCCCAATGTAATATTCCCTGCCCACCCCATCACGACAAGCAGGTGAATGACTTCAGCCAGAGGATACACACAGGACAAACACTAGAACAGGAGTTTTTTTTAAAATGCAAACATTGTTTTTAACTTGAGCTGTAGCTGATTTATGATCTAACAAAATAGGCAAAAAAAAAAAACAACAACCCACTATAATAAACCACGAACAGCTGCCCACCCACTCTGGCTCAATACCATAACAGCCCACTCTTCTCTTGCCATCTGCGCCTCCAGATATGATCCTCGGGTACACAGGAGGTCCCCCATCTGAAGCAGCGATGCCTCCAGCGTCCGGGCCCGCACAAAATGTTCTTTACCATGCCAAAGTGGGGATTTCATGTAGGGAATAGTGTCCATAGAGGGAGAAGGGGGGGGGATTGGTGTGGAAAAAGAACTAGTAAGTGGCCAGCTTTCCACACTGCGTGAGCGTGGATTATATCAGCGTCCATTTTGAGACCACGCCATTTTGATCTGGGCTTTGTTTGGGGCTTTCTAAATATATATTCGCACTTAAGGACTCGCCTTATATGAACACTACAAGAGAAGGGGGTGGGGTGGGGGGGTTCAAGTCCACTGATCCATCCATAACAGCCCCCACTGGTTGAAAAGCCACCAAAGCAGGCCTTGTTGTGAAACCCGCCAGCCACTCCCGAACAATAGGCCGCCTGGTCGCGGAGAAGAGGAAAGGCCTACTCTCCAGAGAAGTGGTAGGTAAGGGGCGAGAGGGGGGGGAGGGGGGAGAAAATGTGTGAATCAAGTGCTTTTTTCCTCTCACCGACATTGTGACGCGTGGGGGTGGCACACAGCTTTTACTGATGGTGGACGACCAGCGCTAACAAAAAAAAAAAAAAGGTGCTGGATTCAAAATGGCGCCGCCAGCAGCAGCAGGGGCCTCTTCTTGAAACACGGTGTTGACACACTTCAGAGGTGGCAGGAGAAGGGACAACTACGCATACAACTTCCATTAATGCTTTAACCGCGTACTACAGAGCTCTCCTAGGAGGGGAAACTCCGACCATTTCACTCGCTTGACTTGCAAACTGGCTAGTATTTCCATTTTTTCAGCCCATTCCGCTCATATTTCTCATACCCTGTTGTATGGCGTCGGTCTGCCCCTGGCGCGACTCAGGTTCTGTCGGTTCCTCATGGGGCCGGATGCACCCCCTCGGCCTCCAAATCCTCCTCCGCCGCCGCCGCCGCCGCCGCCTCCGAGACGCCCGGCGCTGCCACCTCGGCCGCCGCCTGCACCTCCGCGGCCTCGGCCTCTTCCGCCGCGGCCTCCGCCTCTCTGCTGCCTGTTCTGCTTGATAATGTCGTCTAAAGACATATCCATTTTATCGGCCATTGTGTTGGCTTAGTAACGCTAAACTTTCAAGGAAAAAATACAAAAAAAAATTACACCCTAGTCTTGGCTTGGTCCCTCTCCCTGTCCCTTCACAGCTCGGCGGTCTCTGCTCCAACGGCAAAACACAATGAGCTAACAGTCGTCGTCTGGATATAGCCAACTGGTTCGGTACGTAATCACGCAAATCTACGTCACCACGCAATATACGTGAATTAAAGGAGAACGCCTTTCTGTCACACGGTAGTGAACAAAATGTACACTATCACTCCCCCCGTAACATTATGACAGATTATATATATACATATTATAACACTATGTCCATATTCTTTATATTATCTGTAAAGTATCTGTAAAATATTCTTTATATTATCTGTAAACTAGTATAGCATGCTCACTGCACCTTAATCTGTATATTATAATCCTAAAAATACACTTATATTTATAGCATTTATTTATATTTATAGCATCCCATTAATCCAGCCATCCATATATACCTAATAATTCACTTTTTTTAGTCTACATCTGTAAATTTTGTAAGTACTGTACATAGCACAGACTCTTGCACTTTCTGCTTATTTGCACTTCTGGCGAGATGCCAAACCTCATTTCGTTACTCTATACTTGTATATGTGTAATGACAATAAAATTGAATCTTAATCTTAATCTTATGCATCACTGGATAATTTTTCTCATTACTAATATTTATAGATGAAGGTTTTGCATAATAGATTCAAGTAATTTACCAATGAGATATTTATTAAATAGTTGAAAAAAAAAATCTACAGTTTTAGCTTCCAGGTTTTCATCATTTCATGTCATTAAACTAAATCAAACGAAGCAAATATTTTAGTGTCAGCCTTCACTGTTACATTTTTAGTTATGAAACACATCACCTACTTATTTATTGGGAAAATATTGGCAATGGAACTGACTTAAGCTCAAAAATCAATATACACAGGATATAGCATAAATATTGCTTTATAATTCAACCTGTGGGACGGCTGTTGCTCAGTTGGTAGAGTCGTCGCCTCTCAACCGGAGGTCAAGGGTTCAATCCCCAGCTGAGCAACGTGTCCATGTGTCCTTGGGCAAACATTGAACCCTGCATTGCTCCCGCTGCTTCAGTGGCGGTGTATGAATGGATTAGTGTTGTACTTACTCTCTGATGTACGTCGCTTTGGATAACAGCGTTTGCTAAGTGAATTGTAACATTGTAACCTCCAGTGTAAGGTGAGCATTAGTTTTGTTCCTTTATTTTCCTTAGTCCATATGTATGTGGGATCAAGACAAGCAGGAGTACTGTAAAAGTCTTTTATTCAACATTTTTGTTTCAAGGCTAAGGGGAGGGGGTTAACCCAGGGCAGCATACTCGGGGAGGTCTCTACAAAGTAAAGTCCATTTTAGGGGAAGAAAATTTATAATAAAAAGGTTGGCCTTTTACATTGCATTTGGCTGCCAAAACTTGCAGATAAAGTGTGAATCCAATGTAACAATCCCATTACGTCTACTATTTACTGGTCAAACTACCTTAAAAAAAAAAAAAAGAGAGAGAAGTCAGCCATTTGCATTTTCCTCCAATGTCATATAAGTAGGAGTAGTAAAGAAAACAGGGGCTTGTACTTAAGACTGCAGTCTTCCGTGTCCTGTGGAAAGTGTCAAGTTGTATCCTAGCATCAGATGTCAGCAAATATTGATGAAAGTTTGCATCAGTCCGGTCCACATAAACAATATGACAATTTTGTAACTTGAAAAACATGAACCAGGAGGCTGGGACATTTCTCTGCTCCCTGGGGTCCCACTTCTTTTCTTCTAGATCGGCTGTAGAGGGTAAAGAAGAGGAGGGGGTTGCTATGGTCCAGAGTTAAGAAACAAAATTGGCATTCTGTGCTTGACTGGCCGACAGGGCCGACTTTCTGGCTGATGGAGGAAAAGTTCTCGAGGATAATGGATGGAGAAAAAAAAAAAAGGTGACCAGACAGTCAAGAGAGGACTAGGACTTCTTGGAGTCTTGTGTGTTGCGTTTCTTGAGGTCACTCAGGTCCACTGGTGTGAAAGCTGAAGGAGCAGACGGAGAGAAGTCTTTACTTAGCCTTTTGCTTGATTGATTCAATCCTTTAGGTTGATATAAGAATGAAAACCACTTCACTTCTAAGTTATTCTAAAACTTACAATGTAGGTTTGGATTTGGGTTCTTCTCCACATACTCTTGTGGTCCGCGGTCGTTGCGTTCAATATTTTGTGTTGATCTGATGTCTCTTAGCACACACTGCCAGGCTGTGAAAGACAAGAGACAACAACGATTTTATTGCATTAGCGTAAAGCTGTCCTACTTGGTAGAGATGTTAGTGAAGACATGACAGGACAGAGCGAAGAGTAGATCATTATAATTCATAATGTATCCTTTATTAATACCACAAGGGGAAAATTCAGTTTTACACTCTGTCTAATGAACATGCTGCACAAATATAGGCCGAAATACACACAGATGCACAAACAGGATCCTATGGACATGCATTAATGGAGAGGTCTCAGAGTGAGGGGGCTGCCCACAGCAGTTTTGGGGTTTGGTGCCTTGCTCAAGGGCACCTCGGCAGTGCCCAGGAGCAAGGCACGCTGCTGTTTTATAAAAGATTGAAGTTTTATAAAAAATTTCACAAGATCAAATTGGTCTTGTTAAAACTACATGCTGGATTTTAATGCGTCCAACACAGCCTACCGTCTCACTGTAACTCACAACATTACCCTTTCCTCCAAATTCTACATTCTTTGCAAACTGAGGACTTTTTCAATGAAGCACTTTAAGGCTTGTAATGCTATGACTGTTGGCAAATTAAGTTTCCCAATGCAGATATTTGAGCATTACTTAGTAACTAAAGGTCATAGTTATAGTGATCATTTACAGGCAATCAGAGCATTAACATATCACACACACGTTCTCTGTGTCTCCTCTTAAACACACAAAAACACACTCATTCAATTTTTTTTTCTTCCAGAGTGGAGCTGAAAAGGTTTTGGAGGGATTGATGTCTGAGCCCTTTCTTAAAGCACTTAATATCCTTCATGGTTTGACAATAATGTACATCTTTTTAAATTCTAAATATATAACATCTATGGGATCTTTCTGTCTCAACTCCTCTGTTTCACATGGACACAGAAGGAAATCCCTTTTGTGGAAACTGCTGTATTTTCTGAATGTGCAGAGGCAAATTGGTGTACATGTGAGGCCGTGCGTGTGTTTTTTTCTGTTGGCTCTGTCTTGTCCCTCCCCTTCTTTTGGATAAAGAATCCCACCTGTCTCATGACACAACTATTTTCAGGACATAAAGGTAACTTAGAACGTGTTTTGGCTTTATTTTAACAGATTGTGCAAATGAATGCGAAAGGCCAACTTACTGTCATGTATAAAGCGCACATTCTCCTCATGTGCTGGAGTGAAAGGCTCCCCACTGTTAGTTGGGGATCGGGGGCTTGAAGTCCTCTTATAACTATTCACCATTCTGGGAGCAGATGAGCTAAAAAAAAAACATGAAACCAGCAAAGTTAGCATCATCAATAGAAATGGAATGAACTTCCAAACTCCATTCGATCTGCAGAGTCCCTCTGCACCTTTAAGAAAAAGCTAAAGACCCAGCTCTTTCATGAATACCTACTAACTTAATGATGATGGTCTCCATATTATTGATGATGATGATGGTTGTGACGATGGTTTTTGTTTGATAACGACGACTTATAAGATGGTTTCTATACTGATTAGAGCTCTCAAGAACTGCCCTCAATGTTGTGCTTTGCCTCTGGTCACTTCCTGTCAGCACCTGTGTGTCCAATCAGACTCAAAGCTGATCGTTTGCTCTTACTGACATTGTTCCCTTTTTTTCTAGATCCTTGCTTGTGTCGTTCTTACTCTCTGATGTACGTCGCTTTGGATAAAAGCGTCTGCTGAGTGAATTATAGTAGAATTGTAGAAATGCTCCTCTTTAAACTTCATAAAGCCTTTTAAAACTGTAAAATAAACTTCTTGAACCATTCTGTTTCTGAGGCCAGAAGCCCTCCAGGAATAATACAATTGATAACATTTGAAGAATGAACATTAAAACACATTGACACACACTCATTGCAACTTGTCAAGATACCTGGTCATTCTGTTTGCAGTCTGTACTCGCTCCTCCCTCTATGGTGAGTGGAATGGAAGATAACAAGGGTTCAGAGGTCCTCAGCTGAATACTAACAATAAACAACAGTGTCAACTACAGCATCTCCACTTCTTCTGCTTCTAAACGAGATAACACAGGAAAAACTTCACATAAAAGCTTACTTACAGAAGGCACGCTACTAACACTGCAGCCTAACCAAGAGGTGAACTATCTACACAATTGCACACAATTATATTAGCCTTTCTATCTATATCGATTTCTGACTGACCAGTGGTAATACCACTCTTATAACTCGTGGTTGATAGTGATAACTCATTTATATACAGGCAAGCTAAGGTATGTATGAGGAAAACAAGTGAGATGTTGACGCTAGCTCGTAAAGGGGTTTTTGTTTACGTTTGTCCCCAGTAGCTGATAGCAGCATGCTACATAGCCGAAACCAGCCTGTCTATTATCACGTACAGGAGTATTCACATGTTTGTAAAAGGGTTTCTGTTTTTCACATTCGGCTTCCCCTATAGCCACCTCCTGAGTTACGCTAACTACAGATCTGCTGACAATATAATTTTAGCTTTCTTTAGCCAGTTAGCTCGCTGGTGATTTACATTGTCTTGTAAACGTTAGCTTCAATAAGCTAATATTGTGCGGGCGTTTCTGCTTCCAAAGACTTACTGTAAAAAAAAACAACAACCAAAAAAAAAACACTTATCACAGTTATAGGTATTTAAAAGGTATTTCGCAAAGTGGACACTGTTTAGATAAGCAACAAACCTTTTACAGCCGTTCCTTTCGATTTCTTTATTCCGAGACTGTGTACGCCGTTAGACCTGGCTGAAACGTTGCCTATGCCAACAAATCATTTCCGGGAAGACACGGAAGTGAAAGAGCTCTGAGGCGTGATAGAAACATAAAATTATTATTATTAATAATAATAATAATAAAAATAATTAATAATAATGATAAGATACTTTTCAAAACATTTAAATGAAAGACAGTGTATTTTTTCCTTCATACTTTAATATTATTTTGCTGTCTCAGTGCAACGTTTATATTTAAATCTGTAATGTATTTTAATTTTCCATTCATGTCAGGATGCAAAACAAGGAAAGACGAAGGGATACATCTGTGTTATCATTTTCATTTCTGTGTGCTATAAGTGTTTGTTGTTGTTATTGTTGGCTCCTCAACCCATAAACACCCCCCCCCCCCAACAAGACGGGAATACAATGTGCATTAATTACCTAACCACTGATAACTGTTCAATATTACTTGTGCAATAACTTTGTAATTCACTGCTTTATAACTGTCTATTTATTTACTCAGTCACTGCACTTTAACTTTAACTGTCTATGTATTCATTCATCCATTGCACTGTGTGCTTGTCTGTGTTACACTGAATATTACAGACTACACTTTTGTCAAATAGCTGATCTATTTTCTTTTTTAAATCTGTTTTTTAGAATATATTTTTTTGTACATTCTTAATTTTTCTTTTTTTATTTAAATTGTACTGTGTTCACTTTTTGTCTGCAATCTTTGCTCTTTGCTGCTGTAACAGTGTAAATTTCCCCATTGTGGGATAAATAAAGGATTATCTTATCTTATCTTATCTTAAATCTGTTTATTTACTCATCCAGTCACTGCACAATAATAACTGTATATAATCTTTCACTGCACTATAACTTCACTTATTTGCACTATATCTCTTTATATATATTTGTTTAATTAATCAGTCACTGCAAAAATAATAACTGTATATATTCTTTCAGTCAACACAGCTGTCTATTTATTTATTATTATTATCATTCATTCACTGAACAGCAATTGCTCTGGCCACTTTTTGCATATTTCTCTTTCATATCACCAAAAATATATTTTTGTTTTTGTAAACGCTGCTGTTTAGGATTGCTGCTAACGAAGTTTCGTTGTGTCCTTGTATACAATGATAATAATAAAGATTCTATTCTATTCTAACAATGATACAACAGGAGTCCTAATGATAGATAGAGCAAGTAGGTAAGTAAAGTTTATTTATATTTATATAGCACCTTTCAAGAACAGATGTCACAAAGTGCTTCACAATATCACAAACTAGTTTTTATGGTTTTATTTATTTATACTTGCTTATGTGTTCTGTCTATATTTCCATAGTTTTTATAGGCTAATAGACTTTCATTTTCTGTGAACAGACTAAACAACAGAGACTCAGTCATATTTATTTAAAAAAAATCTTTATTTATGAAAACGTACAAAAATAATTATTGAAGAAAAATGATAAGACTTTCATTGCTGACATTCTACTAAAGAAAACAACAACAATACAGTAGAGAAAAGGCAGCGGCAGTAGAGGTGCTTACACAGCATACATTTGGTGTCTTTTATTTTTTATAATTCTTGACCATGGATGAAGAATCCGTTATTATTTTGGCTGATCCTCGACCTGCCCAGCAGTGTGGATCCGTACCTCTGTTAGTAAAGCACAAACATCTCACCAATAACTCTGTGTTGTAAAACGATTAGAAAGTATATTACATACAGCCTGTAAAGTGCAACCAGCCACTTAAAAAGTAAGCGTTCAACACTAATACTATCTGTCAAAATACTTTAACCTGGGAGCTCATGATGATTCAAATCAAACAAAATAGTTGTTATTATTTTACATGAGCTGAGAGTGAAAATGGAGATATTCACAGATCAACATTTGCAGCATATGCACTGACAGTGTGACAAATACACAAAAGCACAAAATACAATCAAATGAAATGACCACCTGAAAGAGAAATACATGTTATAAGGCTATAATACAAAAATTATAGTGATATATTATAGCGTTTTTTATTTTCTTTGTCAAGTGACTGCTCATATGTCTTTCTTCTGTTCTGTCTCTGATCAGTTTGGTGCCTGATTCAAACACAGCCGACTTCAAACAGTTTGAGCAGCTCTTGGCTGTCGGGGTCGATGAGGTCAGAGGGCTTCTCTCCACTTTCGTTCTCGACCTCTGTGCTGGCTCCCATCTTGAGCAGGTAACTGTGAGGAGAATAAAACACAACATTGTAATTCTAAGCTATAAAAACATGTTGTTATCTATCCTTGCAGCACTTGCTCTTTCTCAGTTATTGTGTTTTAAGCACTGTCTAACCTCATAGGCCTGACATTAAGAGGATCTGTTTTAACAATGTGGTATTAGTGAAGATGTGTTTGTCCTTCTGGGTCACCCTTTTAATACAATGACATGGTCATTTGTCTCCCATCCTCTCTTCCAGTGGTTCCCAACCAAGCCTAACACCCCCTCCCTTCAGGACCCACATTAAAAAAATACATTGCTGTCAGAAATTAACCAAAAAAATGTTTTTAATTTAAACCTGATTTTGAGTGAAGAAAATCGTATTGTTTTTCCACGCAGCTTTATCTCCAGACCTTTGAATAAACTATCCAGTGAGTGTGATGTCATAATTTTAGTTACAAATCCAATTTTGACAACCTCATTGCAGACAGAGCTCCACACTGTCCCCCACTGAGATCTTTGACACCCCCCTAGGGGGAGCCCAAAACCTAAGTTGGGAACTAATGTCCTATTCTGTACACTCTTTCAATACCAGTATCTGGTGTATATATGATGGTTGAATTATATCAGTTTCTCATTCCCTATTGTCCTACATGTCTCTTGTGCCATATGAGGTCATTTTCATTAGGCCATTGTCATTAGGTGACCTTGTCTTCTTCAGCGTGGCTATTTGAATATCTTCCATTTTATAGAAAATGTGCAACATACACTTCTCTCTGTCACATAAAAAATGTTTTTATTTAAAAAAGCTTACATGATTAAATTCCAATGTTTAATTTTGTGTGCAACCAGAGGTCAAACTGAAAGGTCAAAAGATCATGTTTCACCTAGCGATTTCAGGGTAGCCGTCACTGCAGGCCATGTGAAGTGGCGTCCAGCCGTCTTCGTCCCTCTGGTGAACATCGGCGCCATATTTCACCAGCAGCTTCACCACCTCCAGGTTGCCTGTTAGCACGGCTTCATGTACTGCTGCCATACCTGCACACAGAACTACATCAGTGCCCTGCAGCAGCCATGCAGTAAATCCAAGTCAGTTCTGGTCCTTGATCCTCATTGGCTGACATTATTTTGAATTGCCAATTACATTACGACACGATACAAAACGACACAAACAGGTTGAAAGTTTTAAAAGCTGTGCTCACCCGAGTGGAAGATAGTATCCACACGAACTTTCCTTGCCCTCATGAAGCGACCGATTTGCTCCATATCCCCTCGTCTGACGATATCCTGGAAGATGATGTCATTGGGGAAGTGCACAGTCCTCTTTGCAGGTGCGACAGGTATCACAGGTGCAGGTTTTTCCTTTGCTTGTGTGCGCTGTGTTGAGCTGTACCGGGATCCTTTGCTGTATGAAGGGACGTATGTGGATGTGGGCTTGTAAGTGGATGTGTAAGGTGACGGCGTGTAATGTGCTGAGCTGTACTGCGTTGGGGTGTACTTTGTTATGGAGGAGTATGTGGGTGTGTAGTGCGTTGGTGTGTAATGCGAAGGGCTGTATAAGGTGGGTGTGTGGTATGTCGGTGTGTACTGTGAACTGCGTGTGTACGATGACACTGGTACATAGCTGTACTTCATCCCTGCTGATCGGCCTCCTCCTTTGCTGTCAGCCCAGGAGGAGGAAGGGGAGAAATCCAAGAGTATGCTCAAATCCAACAAATAGAGCAGTATCCTTCGCTCTTTGTCCTTTTTTTCCCCTTCCCTTGCTTCCTTATTATCCTTTTAGTTTCCAGCAGAAGTGTTCCAATCCGCTTCTTTTAGTTGGTAAGTTCCTCTGTTCCTCGCCTGCTGTCAACTTCTCCCGACCGAAATTGCAATAACTTTTTTTTTTGCACAGAGTTTTTGCCGTTGCACAGAACTGTTGTCTGACAGATTCGCCGTGAGAGGACTCCTATATACCCTCTGTAGGGCTATTTTCAGGGCCTGGGTTCCAGTGACTTCAGCTTAGAAATGAGTGGCCCTTGTAGTGCTCCTCCCTCTGTGCAGTCACACGCCCAATGACACTGCACCCACCCCTAGATCATAAAAAATGTTGACAACCAAAATGTACCCTCTGGGAAGGGCTCGAGACACACATCCTCCTAAATAAACAATTTGAAGTCTGGTCATGAAGCCAGAGTTAGAAATTGTTAGAGGACAAAATGTGTAGGAGGGTTTGGAGTGCAATTATTTTCCTATTTCATGAGCAGTTCTACGCATCACTGTTCTTTGAATCACGTTATTTTGATACTATGAATGAGGCAAATGTATTTCAGGAACAGCAGTAATAGCACCTGATTTCAGTTGGACATGTGATGTTGAGTTGTCTGCTTAGGTCATACCTGATGGTGCAATAAATCTTATTTTTACATTTCTGTCAGGAGGTTGGAGTTAATTTTGGCGCCCCCTGTGGACAAAGCTGTACTAAATCTTATTTCTTTGCTGATTTTGTCCTGTACATGTTCAAGTAGTAGGGTTTACACAGATATACACCTTTACAGCTGTATGATGACGCTTTATGCTTGATGTTTACTAATCATCCCATTGCAAAAATACATTTAAATATATTTCTCTGGCTTTGATAACATGGTTTAGTCCATTTGTAATTAATTTAGATATTTTAGCGTACAATTTTATGTATTGTATCTCAAAGGCCTCAAATATACTTACTAGTTGCGTAAACTTGGCTTCTAAACTTTCCTCCATTGTTGAAGCGGCTCTCGTCTCCGATGTTGTCATTTCCAGTTTCTTCACAATACAACTCTACACTGCTCCTAGTGGTTATATGCATCCTGCGTCTTGTGGAGGTGTACCGTTAATTTCTGAGGACGTGCACAAATATGTTACAACGTTACAATCATAAACATGTGTACATTTAGACTGGGAAAGTTAAGAAAGTATGCAATTTTTGATACTCATTCTTCTCTTAGCGCTCACTCACACAAGGCAAAGTTGTCCTGTACTGTGCACAATTGCCCCATTCCCCTACTGGCCTGCTCTCACACTGCTCCAGGACTATCCGGGCCTGAGCATGGTTACCTTTTGTACATAACGCCGTAAAACAACACGTGAATGGCTAATGGATAGTGTGTATAAAAATAAAAGAGAGTTTATGCTTTTAAAAATGTTGTAAAAAAAAAAGGAAAATGTTGACAACCTTTATTTAAAGCTGTGAGTGGGTCATTTGTATAGCTGAGGTGTGGTTATAGAAATATTACAGGGTTGACAGAGGCTGAGGTGGAGGGGCCCAATGTGATATCTGTTCCTAGGGCCCAGAAATCCAGATGACGCCCCTGACAGGTTACAGACATTAAAATATACAATATGGAAACGATTAGTCATGTCACTGATTTTCTGCTTTGTTTTTGTAAGTCTGTTCCGAAACCAGATAAAAACCCTCACAGGAATTTAAAGACAGAGACGTTACAAAATCATAAAAAAAACAAAAACAAATATAGATTTTTTTTCTTTTTACATTAAAGTGCAGAACTTGTTTTCTGGGTCTTTCTGTTCTGTGTGTTTTTCTCCTTTGCTCCATGTTCCTTCTCACGTTCCCTGTTGACCTGAGGGTCGGTCATGTGACACTTGATGCTCGCCCTTTGCATCATAACCAGATACACCAATAACATTCCCCCATGTACCGAGGAGGTTGAGCACGGGAGTGTGGTCATGACCAACTGAGGGGCGAAGCCACTAAAACCAAAATGTAACCTCTCAACTGACACGCAAAAAATCACGTGGTAGCTATTTTCAACTCTAAACGTTTGTCTTTCTAAACAGGACTGTTGAACATAGAGGGGAAAAGTTGCGTTTCTCATAAACACTTAGAAGAGAAACGTTTCTTTTGATAAACAAATGACTTTCAGTACGTATGAATGGTGCTGTAACATTGTCTCGGTGACACCAGCTGTCCCCAGATTGACTTGAAGGATGGGCGAGGGCTGGATCTAACCGGTTTATAAACTCTTTGCAAATGGACTTGAGCATTTCACAGATACGACCCGGGGGAATAGCGAAGCTGCTATTCTCAGGTTCTAGTTTCTCATCACTAGGCCAGACACTTAAAACATGACCTTGCTTCAGTACTCGATCCCATCTGTTTGAATCTGCTGATATTCTAATGTGTTGCTGTATATTCTGAAGATTTCATCATTTGGATGTTATTATGTCATTCGCATTGACAGAAGGATTTTACAGACCTCGATGTAGCTTCTGTCACGCACGCCAGCAAAGAGTTTTAAAAGTACTGTCCTGGACTTCTATCCTGGTGGTGGTGACTATTTTACAGTTAGAATCTACCAACCTACGTCTGGAAATTGTATCGTCTGGAAAGAACTGCTAAATTAATATCCTGTAATGGCCCTTAGCTAATTGCGGTGAATTGAAATTAGACTGGCTCTAAAAAAAAAGTCAGCGAGACTCGAACAGTGCTTAAAGCTTCATTTCCATCAGCTGATTTCCTACACTTCCCGATCCTAATGAATCACATTATAACAAAGACACGTTATAACTTGTTGCCCCACCATTTCAACCACTTCCCCATCTTAACTCAAACTGACCATCCTCACAGTCCTACCAATATGTTTGTCTCCATGGTTACAACAGACCTACTATTAGTTTTTATCACCAAGCGAGTTGAGTAAGGGTCTGTTTTATGATTCAGAGGTATAGGCTTACAAGCTAGATTAATCAGGATTAATTCTGTCAGCTGTAATGTTCATTTACAGTATTCAGAACACATGTCTCATTGTGACAAGCACTGTGAAAAGCCCCAGTGACTTCATACTCTCTCTTCATCACTCAAGCCCTATATAGACTGCAGTTTAAGGCAGTGATATTCATCTTCAATATGAATGTTTTGTAATGGGGGGGGGGGACGAAGTGATCCCCCGTTGTGCTGCCTTCAGAGGTAGTAACAGAGGCGTTACAGGAGGCTGTGCCGTGTCTCTTTTGTTGTTTCTGCCTGCCATAACGCAGAGTCAATTCACAGACTGGGACACCAACATTACCTGTACGCCATTACTGATTCATTAGCCGTTTTCCCAAACAGCACCATAATGTAGCTCCCTCCGGCGACATTACGCCCTAAGACATTCATATTGAGCCCACAAAAACATAATATTTTTGTCCCAGTCTGTGAATTCACATTGCCTTACTGTGTTGCAAAAGCGCGAGAGAGCACAGCTACACACACAGTCACACACACACACAACAGGAGTCTTAATAGGGCTAATATAAATGTGATGTGGAGATTTGTAACGGCCCTGTTGCGGAATTGCACAATCTCTCTCTCTCTCTCCCCCACCCCCGTCTCTCAGATAACCCCAGCAGGAATTAATTAATTCATTTTGTGTTGCGGTTAGAGTTGACCCCAGATTTATTATTCATCACCTCCCTTCACTACTGGTCTCTAAACTCAGGGAACGGGGGCTTACAGCTAATGTCTAGACAAATTGAAGTGAGAGTATCTGAATGTTCACAGCTTGAGGAAGAGGCTTTTAGAAGCCGCTCTCAGGTTTCACAGTCTCTTATATGGTATCGAGGGGGTGCAGGGGCGTCCCTGAGCAATGGTGAAACACCCTCTAGCTCTCCTCGCTCCTCTCCACGGCCACTTCCTCCTCGCCTGGGAGAAAACAAGAATGTCCTCCTGTGCAAAATGTTTGTTTGTTACAGCCCGGTGTTAGGCCCGCTATTGGACAAATGCCAGCCAGAAGTCTCACTTGTTACGGCTTCTTGCTATACATAGTCCAAGGCCGTCCTCCACATCCTTCATGCCAGCTCTTTAAGGTTACCAAGAAGTCAGAATTGTAAACAGTGAGGTGTTGGGAAAATTGCCAAAGAAATGAAAAGCAACAACAACAACAATCATTAACGGAAAGAAGCTCAGAAATGTATTTTCTTTGTGATGCCATCAGCTTTAATAACTTCCTCAATAACAATAAGGTACCTCTTCTCTGAAAGTTTAATCTACAAACATTAATATTTAAAGCTTTAACATTTTGAGAAGCTCTCTTTGGATTACTGGAGCTTAGACTTCCTCATTAAGTGTTATCTCGAGACACTTGACAAAAAGCAGGTAAAAGACCTTATCTTTGTTATTCAATATTAGAAAAGAGCAGGTAAAAAGACCTTACTTATTGCTATATTACAAAGACCCAGCTTAATCCATCATGAGCACTTTAGCAACATTTAAGCAAAAGTTACAGTGACAAGAAAAAACTGCCACGGCTGCGAGTCTTACAACATCTTCCCCTCGGCTGAGAGCTCAATGACTGAACGAGTAGTTAGGAGGATTTCAAACTCTATGTGGCAAAAACAGATGGTACTTAAAGAGCTACAGAGCTGCACAGACACTGCATGTTTTAGTTGTTTTGCAGAATTCAATGGCTGGGGGAGGGGTTACTGCCCTTTGTGATGTCATGAAGGGAGAATCTCCAAACGGCCTGTTTAAGCACACATTTTCTGAAAAGTGGAGCAGCCAAAAGACAGAGAGGATGGAATTTTCTCATAATTGGGGGGTTTGTAGAGAGACTAGGGACACATTTAAGTCATAGGAAAAAATGATAAAGTGTACTTTGCATAATTTGTGAACTTTAAATAAATCTTTTGTTTCTATTCATTATATAATACGATGATAAACTTAGCGCTAAGATGAAATCAAGCCATAACAGTGATTCTCAGAATGAAGCCATAGTCCCATATAGTAGTCACCATAGTCATCGAATTTTGCTAATTTATTATTTATTTCATCATACTTTGTTGTCTATACTTTTAAGACACATATGGATGGATTTATTTTTGAAGTGCATGCCCTTGACTTTCTTCAGCTGTCCTTTCCATGAAGACAGCCCAAACGATAACGATATGCCATTCACTGAACGTTAA